TCCTCCTCCCCTTTCTCCTTCTTCTTCTCCTTCTCCTTCTCCTTCCCCTTCTTCTTCCCCTCCTCCCCCTCCTTCCCCTTCTCCTTCTCCTTCTCCTTCTTCTTCATCTTTTGTGGCAGTCCTTGGGGCCTCAGCACTGTCCCTGAGCCTCTTTTACTCAAGGCTAGCGCTCTGCCGGTGACGTGGCTGTTTTAGTAGCTCATTGGAGATAAGAGTCTCCCGGACTTTTCTTCCCACCTGGTTTCAAAATGCAGTCCTCAGGTCTCAACTCCTGAGTCGCTAGGATTACAGGCCTGCACCGGCCCAGCTCTGTGTGCGGTCTTTACCTCTTGAGTGGTGGGGGGTGTTTGGGGGTGAGGACCACGCCCTGATTCCACTCCAGTGAAGGAGAGAGAGATCTTGGGTCTAACCACTGCGCTTTGACCTGCACTGTGGTGGCCATCGCCCCGTTCTCCCCCCCTTCTCCTTTTCTCTAGAAGTCCATGTGGAGCCCCACAAGAAGCAGCTGCACGTGACCCTGGCCTACCACTTTCAAGCTAGCCACTTGCCCACCCTGGAGAAGCTGGCCCAGAACATCGACGTCAAGCTGGGCTGTGACTGGGTGGCCACCATATTCTCTCGGGATATCCGATTCGCCAACCATGAGGTGAGCCCTCCCACTGCTGCCGACACCATGGGCAGAGGTCCAGCGCGAGAGGCAGGGGTGCCCGCTGCTGGCCCTGCAGAGAGAAGCGGGCGGCCCAGCCACCGCCAGCCAGTGGGTCGGGCAGCCCTAGGCCTGTCCGGGATGGTTAGCATGTGGTCCTGCCCTCTGGACTTTTGAATGTCGTTGAGGAGAGAGGACGGACAGATAGGAAAAGGAGGGCAGTGTGCATGGCTACAGGAAGTGGGGGGGGGGCACTGAGCCCGGCGTGGAAGAAGGACCCGACCCGCATCCTCCTGAGAGATGAAGCGTCCTTCCCAGCTGGCCCGGGCTACGGTGAAACAGGGCTGTCTTGTCCATTTTGACCAGAAGGGGATTCTGAAACACAGAGAGAAAGTGTGTGGGCCAAAGCCACAGAGCAAAGTGAGAATCAGAGCTGAAGTCGGAGCCCATGTTTTTTGACCAATAAAGATGGGCACCTCCATCTAAGACAGACCCTATCAGTCCCGCAGTGTCCTCATTGACCTTCCAGTCAATGAGAGTCAGACCTTCCAGTCTGTGATAGTTCAATGATATTACATAGAAAGTTCCAGAAATAATTCATAAGTTTTGGATATTTTTTTTTGGCTGGTCATGGGGCTTGAACTCCAGGTCTGGGCGCTGTCCCTCAGCTCTTCAGCTCAAGGCTAGCACTCTACCGCTTGAGCCACAGCGCCACTTCCAGTTTTCTGAGTGTTTTATTAGGCTGGCTTTGAACCCCCAATCCTCATATCTCAGCCTCCTGAGTAGTGAAGATTACAAGCATGAGCCACAGCATCTGGTATTACATACTTTTAAAAAAAATATAATTTAATTTACTGTTATTATACAGGTAATGTCCAAAGGCCTTGCGATTTAATGAGTCCAGTGCTGAGTGCCTTTCCTTTCATTCAGTGTCTTCTGTTCCCTCACCCTCTCTCAGTCCCTCCCTCCCTCCCGTCTCCACCCAAGAGTTGTGTAGTTTACGTTCATCAGTGTCCCGTGAGCTCCGCTGCTGCCCCTTTTCACCCTTTTACCTGTCTCATGGACTTTTAATCTGTCTTTCGGACTCTGAATTCAAAAGGCAGCAGGAGCCTGCAGTGTGTGCTGGGCAGTCTCTGTTCTGGAAGGGCTGGGAAGGGCCGAGCGTGAATGCCTGCTTCCGGTCTAGGTGTCAGTGTGGCCTGACCTGTCCTCCTTGGCCGGCCGGCTGATGGCAGGGTTCCCCAAAGGTCGATGAAGCAGACTGGGTCTGATCTTACTTGAGGCTCTGGCGTCTCCTGGAGTCAGGATGAGCCCTAAGGAGAGCGAGAGCGGTGAGGCTGGCCGCACTCTGAGGGCCCTGGCAAAGCAACAAGTCACGGCTGCTGGCACAGGGCCTCAGAGAGGTCACCTTCCGAGAGGCGCGGTTGGCTGTGGAATTTTACCTGGTCTGTCCTCTAATCAGCGCGGCCCTCCAGTTACCTCAGAGGTAATTGCTTTCCGCCTGACCCACATTCTCAGCTGGCACAGAAGGAAGGAGGCAGCCAGCGCCCCATGAATTATTTTCTAAAAATAACCCGCCCTCTTTTATCTCTGACTTGGAAAGGCTCCCGAACTACGGCTCCACCTGATAAAGCACTCCTTGGCCCCCTTAGACTCCCGAGGGGTCTTTTGGTCCCACCGGGTCCCTCCCCTTCTCCTTCCTCCTCTGTCCCCAGGGAGCAGGCGGGATCGAGTGTTCCAATCAGGGCACAGATGTCCAGAGAAGAAACTTTCAGGCAAGGACGTGGGCAGAGCACAGGGATCCTGGGGACAACCTGGGGGCGTTTGAGCTGGCAGACGCCTGTTTGTGCCTCTCCTGGACTCTTCCCCATTAGCCGTGAGGTGAGGCCGCGCCATTTAAATGCCTAGCCACCAAAACCTCGAGGAAGGACCGAGTTCTTCAAAATGCACTTATTTTGGAGTCTAGCACACTTAGCTTTAAAGCCTGGCCTCTTCACTTTAGCTGGAGTTGGACTGACGTGTAACGACTTACGTAATCTCCAGTTTGCTCAGCTGTGAAACAGCCATCATGCTCCTTGGACCTGGGAAGTGGTCCATGGAGGAGGAGCACCTCTCTCCTTACGCCTGACACAGGAGCCCGGCGGGCCTCCCTGTTTGTCAGAGCAGCATCAAAGTTGCTACTCAGAGGGGACACAGTAACACACTACCACCTGAGCGTGGCGTCCGTGTGGTCATAGAGGGAAACGTACCTGAGGTTGACTCCGGAATTGTGACAGGCAGAAGCTACATGTAAAAAGAATCGGTGCGTTTCAGCACAAACTGACTGCCTCGGTCTCAGGCTAAGTTGTTGGTTTTCTCCTAAGCTGGCTTTGGGAAGTAGAAAAGGACGGGGAGGCTCAGGCACTAGTAGCTCATGCCTGCAATCCCAGCTCTATCAGAAGACCTCCATTCAAAGCCCTGAGGCTTCCTCTCCAGTCAACTACTCCAAAGCCAGACGTGGAGCTGTGGTTCCAGTGATGGACTGTCAGCCTTGACAGAAAAAACTAGAGGATAGCACCCGGGCCCTGATTTAAAGTCCCAGTATGGACACCAAAAAAAGAAAGAAAGAAAGAAAGAAGGAAGGAAGGAAGAAAAAGGATAGACAGACAGATGGGAAGAGGATACTTGAGTCCCAATTGTTATTTTTCAGTGCTGGAGCTTTTACAAACTAGGGTCCGAAGCATGCTAACAAGCAAACACTGCCACTTAACTGCTCCTCCACCTCCCCCTTCCCCACATTACAGTTTTAGATTTGCTGCAGTACCTTCATTCTCATGCGGTTCATTAGTAGATCAAAGCTACTTAGTGTCCAACTGCTCTGTGCTTTGTAGATACGGTCTCCAACTTTCCTGTCACTCACTGCCTCTCCCCGTGGGAAGTGGAAGAGAATGATAGAAAGCCCAAGCTGCTAGTGACCCTGTGATGGTCATATAGAACAGGACAGGAAGGGTCCCCCAAAGTGGAGTCAATCCAGTGGTGTGGCCCTGTGGCCATCCCTGGAGGTTCTTCTGAGCTCTAAGAAAGAACAGGGGTGAGGGGAGGGGGTTCCTTGGCTCCCTGGGGAACGGGTCTCCTCCTGCTCACTATGGTCTAAGAAGGGCAGCTTTCTTGCAGAGGCCCTGGGGGGGTGGCAGGTTTGGAGCAGAACTTTGTACTTCAGGATGAGCCTCCAAAAAAACTCCTGATCCCTGAATCTTGGTAGGAGGGGAAGGAAGGAACATCCCTGAGTAGCAGGCACGCCGCCAGATCTGGCGAGAGGCGTGCTCTGTGTGTGTGCATGGGTGTGCATGTGCGCATGCATGTGTGTGCACACACATACACTTGAGCCACACACCTCTCCTTTTGGCTTTTTGATGGTTCACTGGAGATAAGTATCTCACGGACTTTCCTGCCCAGGCTGGCTTTGAACCGTGATCCTCAGATCTCAGCCTCCTGAGTAGCTGCGATGACAGGCGTGGTGTTCAGTAAGAAGTACTTTTTCATCTGAATTCCAGGCGGAATTTCTGGAGCCTGAGAACCCCAGGGCCTGCTGTGGGAGGCTGCGTGCTGCACACAACACCCAGCCCCCCCTCGAGCTCACACCTTCACCTCCCTTTGCAGACGTTACAGGTGATCTACCCCTACACCCCTCAGAACGATGACGAGCTCGAGCTGGTCCCCGGGGACTTCATCTTCATGTCCCCGATGGAGCAGACCAGCACCAGCGAGGGCTGGATCTACGGCACCTCCCTGACCACCGGCTGCTCCGGCCTCCTGCCTGAGAACTACATCACCAAGGCGGACGAGTGCAGCACCTGGATTTTCCACGGGTGAGTGGATGCGGGCCGGCCGGCTGCGGCCTGGAGAAGTACGTTGCTGCGGCAGACTCAGGAGGCAGGAGGCAGCTGGAACAGTAAAGGAGCTGGTCGGTGGGGAAGAGAGCCAGGCCTTATTGGTTCCAGATTGCCAGGAAATGGGCCGGCTTGAGGCCTGGCAGGCAGGGGAAGTGCACGGCTCTGCCCGCCCTCTGTCCACATTTGGCTCTGTTGTGTCTGAGCTCCTGGTGGGAGTTGAATCCAAGGCTTCCGGAGGCTGTGAGTCCAGAAGGGCCGCTCCCTGGCTCGCTGTCAATCTGCTCTGTGGTACCAGCCTTCCACCTTGTCCTGCTCTGATTAGTCAGGGTGGCCCACCTTCCAGAGCCAAGCAGAGACAGCCTGGTGGGGAAGAGCACAGGGCAGTGCCCCCCTGTGTCCTGGCAGGCTGGACCTGAGGCCACAGAGGGGGTGGGGTAGATGCGGTGACGGCTCCGTGGCTCCCACTGCCCTCGGGGCCTGGGCCTGGCATCCCCCCCCTTGATGAGGCGCCAGTGCATCCTTGTCCAGCCTCGCAGGCCCAGGACAGGCCAGCGTGTTCCAGGCAGCGCCCGTGCCCTGCTGGCCCCGAGGAGAGGCTCCGGGCGCCATCGCCCTCACCCGCTTTCAGCAGCTAGCAATCTTATTTTTTTTTTTTCTTGAGCAGACAGCCCCAGGCCACCACACAGGACCTTGGGTTCCAGGGACGATAGGAAAGAAACAGCTGGCTCTCTTGTCATCAGAGGAGCTGCAGAGAGAGGGGGGAGCCTAGGCTGCAATGCAAGGAAATGAGAGGCGTGGGAGCATAGCTCCAGGGGGCAGACACGCAGCCCTCCGCCTGGAAGAATGGCATTGGGGAGGGTCTTGATGTAAAATAAAGGAGACTATCCGGCCTGTGCCGGTGGTAAGAGCTGCCACTACTTAAAGTTGCTGCGACCAGGTTTAATTTGGCTGTGCATCTGCCTTCTGCAACAAGGCCTCCTACGTTCTGGGATCTCAGCCCCGACCCACTGAGTCTCCCCCCAAAGGGAAGGCCCGGGATGCAGAGCTACACAAGAGCAGAAAATCCCTCTCAGGAACTGAGATTTCTGGAGGTCTTGGCTTGCAAATATGAGGAGTCTTTCCGTTCTCACTGACCTGAGACCGTCTCCGTGTGTGGCTATGGTGGCCGCAGAGCCTTCTGCCTCAGCCCACCCGTGCTGAGATGATAGGCGGGCACTGTCATGCTGAGCTTTCGAAATGAGCCTTACAGAGTTCTTTCCACAACAAAGATTCTAATAGTAAGACTCTGTTAAAAATGAATAATCCAGGGCTGGGAAGGTGGCTCAGTGGTAGAGTGCTTGCCTTGCATGCATGAGGCCCTGGGTTTGATTCCTCAATACCACAAGCAGAAAAAGCCAAAAGTGGTGCTGTGGCTCAAGTGGTAGAGCGCTAATCTTGAGCTGAGGAGCTGAGGGACAGCGCCCAGACCCAGAGTTCAGACCCCATGACTGGCAAAAAAAAAAGAATAATCCAGAAAAGATGCTGAGTCAGTAGACACAAACCAGGCTCTGCTGAGCACCTGGGACATATATGTATGTCCACCTAAATTATCAAGAAGCGAGAAACCTGAAGTTTAAATAGTCTCAATCCACATGACCCGGTGATGGAGAGGAAGGTGTTTGCTGAATCTGCCTAACAACTGTGTTTAAATAGCACTGTTGTGAGATGAAACTTCTCACTGTCTCTCTGTGCCCAGTGACTTGAACGTGGTGTGTTTTCTCAGTTCTCCTCTCTGCTGGATCTGTTTGGAGCTTCTGTGGTCAGCTAGGTACCCAAAAAATGAGAGCACCTGGCTCATGCCTCTAACCATCTGTGAGGGTCATCCTCTGAAATAATTCTGTGTGTGTGTGTGTGTGTGTGTGTGTGTGTGCACCAGTCCTGGGGCTTGAACTCAGGCCCGGGCTCTGTCCCTGAGTTTTTTTGCTCAAGGCTACAACTCTGCCACTTGGAGCCACGGCTCCACTTTGGCATTTTGGTGATTCATTAGAGATTCGAGTCTTACGGACTTGGCTGCCCGGGCTGGCTTTGAACTTCGATCCTCAGATCTCCTCCTGAGTTGCTAGGATCATAGGCATATGCGACCAGCACTGTGCTAATAATGCTTCCTTTAATCATCCTGTTGTGGGTATCACTGGGGCAAGCCTCAGGCTGGAGACAGAAGGAACTGAACGGGGATATTGGCCATGAGGTTTCTTAGTCCCTTAGGAAAGTGGTGGAGATAGTATTTAAAAAAAAAAAAAACTCCCTCTTACTCCTCAGATGGAAAAGAGTAAAGGCCCCAGAGACATTGTTTATTTGATTGGAGCCCTGAAAACAGCTGAAACGGTGCCACATAATTGACTCCTCATTGGTCCTAACCTGCCTTTGGTACAGCCATGCCAGGGCACCGGCCTCCTTCCCGCACAGAGGGATGCTCGCATCTGTTCCCGGCACCGAGGTCCATCCTCTCCTCCTTGACTAGCCCTAAGACCTCAGCATACACCAAGAAGGGCCTTCCCAGGGAGGGCGCACTCCGCGTCAGCCTCCCATCCTCCGCCAAACCAGAGATGGGTTCCTGACAGGTCACATCCCACTGATCACAGCACTGGACGCCGTGACCCCCTCCAGCCACAGCGGTTACATCTTCCTCTTCTTCCTCTACAGCTCTTACTCGATCTTAAACACAGCCTCGTCCAACTCGCTCCCATTTGGCGATGGACTCTTAGACAGGAGGCAGTATGAGGACCAAAGCCTGGGGGAGACCACGCCCCTTACCATCATCTGCCAGCCCATGCAGGTAAGGCTGGTCCCAGGGCGGCCCTCACGTCCAGGCAGGATGCCAGGGGGGGAGAGGCGGGGGGGGGGATGTTGCACCCTGTCCCCGAGGAGGGGAAAAGCACACAGCACCACAGAGCACACACAGCCAGTGGAGGCTGGAGTCCCGCAAGCCTTGCAGTTCAGAGCGGGCTGGGAGGGAGGGCCGCAGCAGGGAGGGAAGAAGAGGGTTTCCCACTAAAGCAGGACAGATAGATACCTCCTGTTTTATCTGCTTTCTGCATCCGTGTTGTAAAGATGAAAGAGAACAGCGGCAGCTCCGCTAGTGGTGGGTGGTGAGCGTTGAATTAGTCTGTGTGTGGCAGCTGGCTGGAAAGGCTGGAGATGGGAGGAGGGTGGGGTTGAGCCGAGCAGAGAGAAGCTGGTGGAGGATGGAGCGAGGAGCACTTGCGCTGGGCCCCAGGGTTTGAATCCGGGACTAGGGAGAAAGGGCAGAACACCAGTCCACCACTAGCTGTGGCCGAGCAGTTAGCAGCCCACAGAGAGCGCGGCCAGCAAGGACTTGGCAGCCAAGACAATGGTATTGACGACGTTGCCAGAAAGAAGGATGTAGAAACAACTACCGGGTTCCACCAGCAGCTGCAGAAACCATAATCCTTAGTCCCCCCACCTGTTTACTTCCTCACCCAGGCCGCCTCTGTCCTCCCTGAACCCTGAAACAACCATTGTGTACAGAGTCGGAGGCCAGACCGAGTGGCGATTAGCATATGCAAATCAGAGCTGCGCTGCTATTGCAGGCCGCGTGGAATATAAACCGGCCATTCAGTTACGACTCTTTCTTTCCAAAAGACCCTGTGGCCACCAGCAGACGTTAGAAATGGGCAGGTGGCAGAAGTGACCATAGAAGCCACCATGCCCTGCTGGAGAAAGTTGTCTCACCAGATAACTGTCTCAACTCACCGCAGCAAGCTGACCTCTGAACCACCGCCCGGGCTGCATTCGTGGCTGCTACCCCGGAAGGCAGCCCCGCGATGATGACCGCGGGGCTTCCACAGAGCACCTGTCACGAATCTCCTTAGAGCCTCCAAATCACCCGCGAGGTCTATAGGATGTCTTCTTCCCGTTTTATACACGGACCACCCAACTTCAAGACAGGCCGGGGTCTTGTTGGCAGGAACCTTTCTCTCTGAGCTCCCCTCCCGGTCCGGAGGTGGCTCACTGGGCCGTGTGTCCTGACCACGTCTTTTTCTTTCTCCGCAGCCTCTGAGAGTGAACAGCCAGCCCGGCCCCCAGAAGCGATGCCTCTTCGTGTGTCGGCACGGGGAGCGGATGGACGTGGTGTTTGGGAAGTACTGGCTGTCGCAGTGCTTTGATGCCAAAGGTGGGAACTCAGCCAGGCCCACCCATCACCCCCCTCAGCCAGGCCCTGCCCCCACCCCTCCCTCAGCCACGATTTCAGTCCCTGGGCCTTCCGTGGCCCACAGTCAACCACAGCCTAAGCATCTCGGGGAAGAAATCGCAGAAGTAAACCCTTCGGGCCTTATAGGAACCATTCTGAGTCATGAAAGGCCAAGCTGTCCGGCCACGTCCGGTGTTACCCACACGGCGCACCTCACACCTGCTCATGCCACGGCCACGTTGCTCGTCAAGTCTTCTGTCACAGTGTCCCACGTGCATGGGACTCAAGGAACCCTGACATGGTGGCCGGACAGGTGCACGGCCACACCTCTGTGGCTCTTCCTCAGCACAGGCTCTGTAGCACTTCACGTCCTCAAAAGAAGTCTAAATAAGACGCCTTGTTTGAGACAGCACGTGGCGGTGTGTCACTACAGAATGTCTTGTCATCCTGTTGTGCTCGTCTCGCTGCTGTTGAGCTCTTACTATGCCTGACTGTTGAGTTCAGCTTCGCATTAGGTACATTTGCACAGGGTGAGAGCCCTGTACGTACAGGGCAGGTTCTGTGTGTGGTTTCCAACATCTGTGAGAGGACTGCCCTAGTCAGCCCTGTCGCTGGCCCCCCTGCTCTGCCCAGTGGCTCGCTACGGCCCCTAGGGGGCAGAGTCAAGCTACATTTACCTACATCCAGTCATTTATGGGTTTGGGTGACTATTAGAAAATGCCAGTGATTTCTTTTTTCTCTCTCTCCCTCCCTCCCTCCCTCCCATCCTTCCTTCCTTCCTTCCTTCATTTTTTAAATATTTTTTATTGTAAAGATACTGTACAGAGGGGTCATTCATTCCTTTTTCTTTTTCTTTTTCTTTTTTTTTTTGCCAGTCCTGGGACTTGAACTCAGGTCTGAGACTCTGTCCCTGAGCTTCTTTGGCTCAAGGCTAGCACTCTGTCACTTGGGCCACATTGCCACATCCAGCTGTTTTCAGTAGTTTATTGGAAGTAAGAGTCTTGGGGACTTTTCTGTCCAGGCCAGCTTCAAACTGCGATCTTCAGATCTCAGCCTCCTGAGCAGCTAGTATTACCAGTGTGATCCATCAACACCTGGCTAGTGCCTATAGTTTTTTTGTTTTTATTTTTGTTTTTGTTTTGTCAGTTGTGGGGCTTGAACTCAGGCCTGTGTGCTGTCCCTCAGCTCCTCAGCTCAAGGCGAGCACTCTACCAACTTGAGCCGCAGTGCCACTTCTGGCTTTTTCTGTGTATGTGGCACCGAGGAATCAAACTCAGGGTTTCATGCATGCTAGGTGAGCACTCTACCACGGAGCCACCTTCCCAACCCTGCCTGTAGTTTTTAAGTCCTTGTTTGTCTTGAGTTTTAGGGAAGAGATGAGTAGTTTTGTCCACATTCTGTAACCTGAGGGCACTAGGGACCAAAGAGGCTCCATTTTCATTGGAGTGTCATCTTAACACAAGGAGGCTTTGCCTGTCAGAAAACCCCACCTCCTTCAGAGTGGCCGGCTGCTGTTTCACTTAGAAACTAGCACCAGACACTTCCGTGCGCAGAAGGAAGAGAGATTCCGAGTCCATCGACTGAAGAAAGAATGGCAGATGCAGCATTTTCCATCTGCTCCAGGGAGCCCAAATTCAGTCTCTCTGGCTGGGAAGGAGGGGGAGGAGTCCGGACCAATAAGGGGGGGTGGGATGAGGGACTCATGGGAGCTTTGTGTGGCCTTATTTTTCTAGGCCGCTACATTCGCACCAACCTGAACATGCCTCACAGCTTACCGCAGCGCAGCGGAGGTTTCCGGGACTATGAGAAGGACGCCCCGATCACTGTGTTTGGATGCATGCAAGCCCGACTCGTGGGTAAGCATTCTGGAGTGACTGCCAGCGTTTCCTGACCCCTGTGTGGAGAGACTGGTGCGCCGGCCATGCCTGCATACTTCCCGGGCCTTCTGTAACTGTTCTAGATGGAGGATATCAATCCCGCAGCCGCTGGAGGTGGGCTGCAGTCAGTAGTTAGCACACTTGGTGGTGAATGTGACCGGCAAGCTCAGGCCTGGTTGGCTTATATCTCTGGGGTGGCACACAGGTCAGCATCTAGCAGATCAAGACAGCGGCATCCGCCAGGGTAAGGAGGAAGAGGCCTCACGAGCACTGAGTTCACAAAAGCTGCTCCAGAGGTCTCCGTTCCTCGCAGACCGGTTCCATCCGGCCATGCAGAGATGAGGCGTTTTGCTGCTTAGCCACTGAAAGATACTCATCACTTACTTTGTGCAAGCTATTTCATTAGGTGCTGGAGGTACAAGCATAAGCCCTCACCCATTAAAAACAGTTCGGGGAAGGTGGCTCAGTGGTAGAGCGCTTGCCTTGTATTTGTATGCTCGAGGCCCTGGGTTCGATTCCTCAGCACCACATAAGTAAAAAGAAAAAAGCTGGAAGTGGCGCTGTGGCTCAAGTGGTAGAGCGCTGGCCTTAAGCTGAAGAGCTGAGGGACAGCGCCCAGACCCAGAGTTCAGGCCCCACGACCGGACCCCAAAAAAAATAAAAAATAAAAACATTTCGAGGAGCATGTGCATGTGCACACATGCGTGTGCGCATGCACACACACACACACACACACACATACCACCGTGCAAGGCCAGAGAGACAAGCAAAGAGAGGTGAGGTGAGTCCTGCAGTAAGAAGTCTGCTTGAATGCCCACAGAGGCCACGCAAGTCTGTCTACTGATTTCCCTTTGTGAGTCTGTCCGGCTGATTTCCCTTTGCGAGTCTGTCTACTGATTTCCCTTTACGAGTCTGTCTGGCTGATTTCCCTTTGACTTTCCTTGGCAGGTGAAGCTTTGCTGGAAAGCAACACGGTGATCGATCACGTGTACTGCTCCCCTTCCCTGCGCTGTGTCCAGACTGCCTACAACATCCTGAAAGGTGATACAAGTCAGCAGCTCAGCCCTCCATCTCCGGGCACTGAGCGCTCATGGGGGGGGGGGGGGGGGGGGTAGTCACCAGGGAGAGCTCTGAATCTGGAATTATTAAGCAAGATTTCTTTTACAAGATGACCTAACTTACACAGATCACACAATCATACTCTGTCAACATGACAGATAAAAGTAAGTGTGACTAATCATCTTTCTGCCTGAGGAGTTGAAGCCATCGTGGATGAGCTGTGGGATTGCAGAATACCTACATCTTAGAGAGCCATGACCCATCCCTTATCTGCACAGATTCACTGGCTCACAGCAGCCACAGGGCCCCTGGGAATCCACAGCCTTCCTCATTCCAGTCTCCTTAGTGAATTGGAAAGACTTGAAAAGCACCAAGGCTCTAAAGATATTCCACGCTAACCCTAAATTCCCCGCAGGTTTGCACAGCAGGGATCCATGAGCACTTTGCTGAGAAGAAAATTGTGAGAGAGAGAGAGAGAGAGAGAAAGAGATGGGCTATGTACTTGAGCCAGACAAACAAATGAGCCAGCTGTAGATAAACCCATAAATAATTTGACGCTGCACTTGACTCAGTTCTGTAGCCTTAAGCAAACCGTCCCTTTGCTGCCAGATCCTACCTGTGTGGTCACACTACATTAAAAAAGAAGAGCTTAGAAATACTCAGCATTAGGATTTCTGATGAAGTGAATGATTTACATGGCATTCCAATCCAATGGAAGTGATCGGACAGCAGTGAACAGGGAACAAATGCGCCCCACAGGACGCAGAGCCGCCCCAGCAGTGGACGAAGTGTGTGTGCGTGCTGACTTGCAGATTTCTCCCATGTGTCACCAGCATCCCTTGCAGAGGTGTGGCCAGGGCATTAAGCTCATGTCTGGACAAACATAGAAAAGATGCCCCTTGTCCAAACGCCCATGTCTGCACTCGGACCGCTGTATAGAGAATCTAATGGGGAGAGAAAAACTGACTTGGGTTTTTTAAAAAGACATTTGGTCTATAATTTGCTTTTCTACCAAGGACATAAGATCGTTCCGTTCTCTTCGGTTCATTTTGCTTCTAAGGTTTACAACAAGACAATCACCTGAAGATCCGGGTTGAGCCTGGCTTGTTCGAGTGGACCAAGTGGGTTCCTGGGAACAGCCTGCCTGCGTGGATTCCGCCCTCACAGCTAGCTGCCGCCAGCCTAAGCGTTGATACAACCTACAGGTAATGGCCACATGACGCCGGCGAGGAACACTGCCTACACACACACACACGCACACGCACACTCACACATGCACACGCACACGCACTCTCACACACACACACATGCACACATGCACACACACACATGCACACACACACGCACACGCCCACACACGCACACGCACACACATGCACACACACGCACATGCACTCACACACGCACACATGCACACACACGCATACACACACGCACACACATGCACTCACACACGCACACACATGCACGCACGCACGCACACATGCACACATGCACACACACATGCACTCACACACACACATGCACTCACACACACACATGCACACACATGCACACATGCACACACACGCACGCACGCACGCATGCACGGTCGCCCGGCCCAGATGACCGAGCCCACTGAGGGCCACGGGTGTTCTCTGCAGGCTTAGGCTTTTTTTTTCTTCATCTTCTTTTCTTTTCTTAATGGTGCTAGTACTGGGATGTAAACTTGGGGCCTCGCAAGCTTGACCTTTTCACTCAAAGCCGGTGCTCTACCACTTGAACCACACCTCTGTTTCTGGCTTTTGCTAGGTTAACTGAAGGTCATAGTCTCTCAGATTCTTCCACCCAGACTGGCTTTGAACTGCCTCCTGAGTAGCTAGGATTATAGGTGTGAACCACTGGTGCCTATTAGTGATTTGAAATCCACCCCAGGCATAAAAGTCCTGGAGACTCTCCATGCTCTCCTCTCCTTTCCAGGAAAATGGGGAACTAGGTAATGTGGTAGCTGGGGAAAGGCCGTGGCAGGAAGGGTTCTGACAAAGCCTGTTGCTTTGCCTCAGGAGTGAAGTCTCTTCATCTTCTGTTTCGTGTCTCTTGCAGACCTCATATTCCAATCAGCAAATTAGTGGTTTCAGAATCCTACGACACGTACATTAGTAGAAGCTTCCAAGTCACAAAGGAGATCATCAGCGAATGTAAAAGCAAAGGTAGGTGGCATTATTTTGGAGTTCCTCTTGAAACACGTGGGCCTTTCTCCATCCTGGTGGAGGCCATTCGAGATGCTTGAACATGCTTGGACAAACTTGCTTTAAAAAAAAAAAAAAAAGAATAGAGCTTGATTCCCAGACTCTCTCCAGCATCTTGTCACAACGAGCTTGTAATATTTGGGGTGGGTGCCCAACATGGCGAGTAGTCTGGGGACCTTGGTCGACTTCATTAGTCCACTGAATACCTCAGGTTGCATTACAGCCACTTCACGCCCAATAGAGGGGACCCCATGTGGCAGTTCCCAGAAGTCCTCTGGGATAGCACTGACGGCCTACAGTTGACCCCAAAGCCTGGACATCTCACACACACCGAGTTCCTGCTGCCAAGAGCAGGGTTGGGTAGGGATCCAGATTGTTTGCTGTTGTATTTTCCAAAATTTAATCTCAAGCAGCAAATGATACAGTGGCCCTATGAGTCACCATAGATTTTAAGTTAACCCAGTCAGAGAAACAAAGGAGCAAAGACTAGGATTTGGGGCGGCACTGAGCCACAGTGAATGGATAATTCCTGCTTATTACCATCTAGATAAACCATGAGCCAATATGTTCTACTCATCAGGAGTCTCCAGTGCTCACAGCCCTGGGAGTGCCTTGGATACGGAACCCGTGCTGTGTCTTGTGTGTATGTGCGTGCCTGTCCTGGGGCTTGAACTCGGGGCCTGGACACTGTCCTGTAGGTTTTTCCTCTCAAGACTGGCACCCTACCACTTGAACCATCTATTTCTAGCTGTTGGTTGCTTAATGGGTGCTAAGAGTCTCACGGACTTTCTTCCCTAGGCTGGCTTCAGACTGCCAACCTCAGATCTCAGCCTCCTGAGCCCTAACTCTAGTGACAGTTACACAAGCATGTGTATGAGGCCATGCATGAAGCCTGCTGAGATCTGAAGATGCTGAGTGAATTCTACCATAGCCTAGTTCTTGGTTTTGGTGGTGCACTATTGTTATGCAAGATTACCATTCGGGAGAATAGCTAAAGAGGTGTGTGTGTGTGTGTGTGTGTGTGTGTGTGTGTGTGTGTAAACCTGCAAGTTATAATTATTTTCTTTCTTCCCTCTTTTTCCTTCCTTCCTTCTTTCTTTCTTTCTTCCTTCCTTCTTTCTTCTTTCCTTTCTTCCTTTTTTCTTTTCTTTCCATTGATGGGGCATTATGTAAGTTTGGCAATGCTCTGTCACTAAAGATATAACCCAACCCCTTAAGAATATTTCATTGATATAGAATAGTTGCACATATTATTAACACAATGAAATAATCAACACAATGCTTCAGTGTGGTATTTTAATAAATGTTCCTAATGTACAGTGATCCAATTTGAATGATAGTTTTCCCCCTCCCTGAAACCTTTATTGTTTCTTTGTTTTGGATATAATTATCCGAAGACTAAAAGGTTGATTTTCTTTTCTAAAGAAAAAAAGAAGAAAGCTGAGTCTACCATACCATAAGGAAGAGTTTCCAGAATATTGCTTGGGCACATTGTCTTCTTTTTGAAAATGTGTGTTCCATAGCGGAGCATGTGGCTTCCGTCACTTACCAAGCCTGTCTTCTCATCCCTGCCTTTGTCCCCAGGGAATAACATTCTGATTGTGGCCCACGCCTCCTCCCTCGAAGCCTGCACCTGCCAGCTGCAGGGCCTGTCACCTCAGAACTCCAAGGACTTCGTGCAAATGGTCCGAAAGGTGATTCACGCTCCTATTTGTTCAGCCGTGGTTCCTAGCCGTTCCACACAGTTCGGTGAATGGTAGATAACTAATTTCTCTGATGTGCCTATTTCTGTTGAGCTGAGCATCATTTACCGATTGACTTGAGCAAGACCTATTGGATGGTGCCCTGTGTGAGGCACTTCGTGAAGCCTGGAGTAAGAGAAAGGCATGTGTTGGCATTTGTGCCAGCTTCTAGGGGCCAAGACTTGTGGGAGTAGCCAGGAATGAGGAGCCGTGAGGGACGTTGGAGTGGAGGAGCAGAGGTCAGTCAGACACTGCTGAAAGCTGAGGCTGATGCGTAGTCCGAGCCAGCCAGCCATGGGCAGCAGTGCCCACAATGAGCGTAAGAGTGACACCATTTTAAAAGATGGATTGATCGATCTTGCCCATTGTGTCCAAGGAAAAGTTCAGAAATCTTTGAGGTGCCTTTTGAACTTGGCATGGAATTGCTGTGTTAGCATTGCAGCCATCCCTCCTCCTCCTGAGGCTTTGAGTTCTGTCATTTTAGTTGCCTGTGGTCAACTAAAATCTGAAAATACAGCATAATGCAGTAAGATATCGAGAGAGGGACCACATTCTCCATAATGTTTTGTCATAACACATTATTATAATTGCTCTATTTTTACCTACCTTTTTATCCATCTCTTGCTGTGCCTAATTTAGACATGATCGCTCATGGGTATGTAAAGACAAGGTGGATAATGTCCAGAGGCTTTAGTGCTCGCTCAGGTTGCAGGCACCCACGAGGGCAGGGGAGTCTGAGGACCCCCCTGCATAGGGGGGGCCCTGTGTAGATGTTAACTCCCTCTTCCCCGCCCTGAACACGGCAATCTGTGACAATTACTTCAAGTAGGAGAGCTCACGTGGATGGATCCTTCTAATGAAGACAAATCGTCTTGCCCCTAATTTATCAGCTCTATCAGTTGTCACTGACTTTGGAAGGGGATGTGTCTCTAAGAGACCGCTCTTCATTTTTGATAAGGGTTATAAGGTGATGTTTCTCTTGGCTTCTCTGGGCCACCCAGGTGTCTTTGAGTCTAGATGAAAGGAAAGGATTAACCTTGTGTCTTCTGTGTTTTATTTCCTTACTGCTCTGCCTTCAGATTCCATACCTAGGCTTTTGTTCTTGTGAAGAATTGGGAGAAACTGGAATATGGCAGCTCACAGACCCTCCCATCCTTCCCCTGACCCATGGACCGACTGGGGGCTTCAACTGGAGAGAGACCCTGCTGCAGGAGTAAAGCCACTCGCGGTCGGAAGAGCAGAAACTCCGTGGAAAAGCGTGTTTGGAGTGTTCCGTCACCCAAATCATTTAGCATAGTCTCTTTCACGCTTAAGGTTCTCCTGAGACTGTACATGAGAAAGGCATGCTTCAGGGGGAAATCCTGGACGCTTGCCTAGCCAACAGAGCTTTGGAGAACTGTCTTCCTAAACCGGGGCCCCTGTTACAGCACAGGCTGCCTTCCTCCTTGCAGCTATGCATGGCTTCGGAGTCTCACCCCTCCCCATGGGAGCTGTCCCCCCTCTCCACAGGGCGGGAGAGGGAGCTGACCAGGTCCAGAATCCACACTGTGGGGATGGGGTTTTCTTCTGATCGCCATTGTCTTCAAATTAGGCAAAGCCAAGCTGGGAGATGCTTGTAGCCTACACAGTTGTCTTTAGGTTGTGCATCAAATCCTACCTGCAGTAGACCCCAGACAGCAGAATGTTCCTGAGTCAGCCTGCTGGCTCAAGACACCTGCTAAGGACTCGACATTGACCCTGGTACCAACACACCTTTCCCAGAGCAGCTGGTCCTTCTTGCTTCTCTCTATGAAATGGAGAGAGAAAGCCCTTTGGCTTCCCAGAGGCATTTTTAGATACTCAGGAGGCTGGCAAGGTACAGGCGACATCTTCACTGGTAGGTGCAGAAAATCTGCAAAATCTATTGCGAATTAGACTTCTCCACCTTATAAGCCAGTGAGCATTAGCAGCTCTGCATCACCATGATTGGCCGGTCTTTGACCCCTCAACTGCCCACAGTGCTACCTGATTGGTGATGAGGGTGCTCTGAGAGGAGGCGGGGACAGCACCATGTGGGAATCATCCAGACGCTCGCTCCACACAATACAAATGCTTCTCTAACGCGTACCAGGGTCAGGCTGTGGTACACACACAGTACACAGGAGCCATCACACAGTACCCGTGAAGGCACCAACTCCTCCAGGGACCCCAGTGACGTCAGGGAGCTAATGTCAGCAGCCACAGTTGTGACCACACTGTACTTTGGCTGTCCTCCTTTTGTCTTGTTTGTCTGTGATAATTTAAAGTAGATAGGAGGTAGGACCACTTGACGGAACTGGAGGGCCACATTCTATCCTTACCCATGGTCCCCACTTCCTGTATTTAGAAGGAGGATTATTTAAAAGGACAATAAATGACAATCAAACCAAAACGTCCGTTATCAATGTCTATTTAATAGTCTGGCTAGCTGGCCGTGTGGGCCCTCGGCAGTGGTCTGCTGTGATGTCATTGGCACAATGACATCCCAGCCCTTTCAAGGCAGCATTGGTGTAAAACAAATCTATGTCGGAGCCACACGAAGGTTTGTTGTTCTTTTTTCCAACATGAAGATTTTTTAAAACCCAGAAGTGGCAAACCTATGGGCTAGAACAGAGAGCTGTGCTTGTGTGTGAGATCGTAATTTGATGATCTCTAGAAAGAAGAGAAAGTTAAAGGTCTATGGAGACTAATCTGCACAACTGAGATGATGCTTATCTTTTTTTTTGAAGCCACTTTCAGAAACATGTCATGAGTTTTCCATGTTAGGACAGCAACTGTGACTTCTAGCATTGCACAAGCTTCATCCAACTGCTGGATATACAAGTAACCATGTGCTGTGCTGGCTCGCTCCTGTCTCTGGGAGGGAAGTCCTCCTGTGAAAGTCACCCGCAGGGACACCACAGTGCAGCCAAGAGATTGTCCCCACCGTTCGTTCCTCTGGTGTTGGTGTCAATGTGAACCCACTGTCTGGTGAGATCTAGAATGTGTGTTCGAGCCCCCTGCATTGTCGTGGGCTTGCACACTTGACAGATTTCCTTGAAGCTATGTGGGAATGTGTTGTGTGTAGACTTCTACAAAACCGGGTTCAGCGTAGATTAACTTCTCTGCTCCTCCCCATTGTCCCAGTCCACTGGTGGCCTGGCAAACGAAGCCAATTGGCTGGGTACACTCCTGGGTCCTTAGTGCAAGAAGGACAGAGCCCTAGGCTCTAGGAGCCAAAAGAGGCAAAGATCTGACTTTAGTTCCTGAATCACTTAGGTGGAAAGCCCTGAGTACAAAGCGGGAAAGGAAAAAACAAGTTTGCTCCTCAGCTTGACGTATCCAAATGGCTTCTCAGAGCAACTGCATGGTGTGACCTGACTTTACAATCTCCGTGCACATTCACTTACTTAGAAAATTGAATGTGCACTCTAGCTGGGAAATCATGTTGAATCAATGTGTAATAAGAAAAGACAACTATGATAACAGATTTCATATCACAAAAAAAACTATATGACATTACAACCTGATGTTTAAGATGATCCAAGTCTAATTACATCAAATGATATATAGAGGGAAGTACAGAAAAAAGGGGGAGGGGAGGAGGAAGGAAAGCAGCTCAAATGGTTTATACAGAGGAAATTCTCTCCCTCCCCCTCTCCCTCTCCCTCCCCCTCCACCTCTCCTCCTCTCTCTCTCCCACTATCCCTCCCTCTCCCTCTCCTCCCCACCCCCCTAAGCTATTTGAAATAAACCAGGTGAAATGAAGCTTCAACCTGGGGTCCCAAGTCTGCACCTGCTCCCTTCTTCCCTGAGTATTCCCCACCAAGCTCCAGTGCCCTGCCACAGCCCAGTGGGACTTGGTTTTCTGTACTTTCCAGTGTCATGTCTCTCCCTCGAAGGACACATTTTAATGCATTGGGGCCATTCGTTTCCCCAGGCTTCCCCGCCACCATGCCTGAGAGCCAGGAATCCGTTCCTGCTCTGCCCTGCCTGGAGTTCAGGTCCCAGTGTTCCTCCCTTTACATTTAGCTTCATTGAATCTGAATCACTGGTTCTTCGGTGGCCATCCTGTGGCTGAAAGCAAGGGTATTTTTCATCCTGTAGTAAGAGGTTTGGAGGCCTTTCTACTTTTTATTTTAATTCTACTATAACCAAAGAATTGTTTTCAAGTAACCTTATATTTAAAAGATAGATTTGCCAAAAAAAATTAATAAAAATAAAATCTATGCCACCTGGCATCCATTTGTCAGGTGGCTGTTGGTTTTCTTCTTGTCGGTGGTGTCGGGACGCATGTAGACTGTCTCCCTGTCTGTGTCAGGTGACCATAGATGTTCTGTGCCCCACCTCACTGGATTCATAATCAGAATGAAGTCTCTTACTGCAAATACCTAGTGCCTCTGGGAAACTCCCTGACTGGCTAGCTACAGGAAGAGAAGCTCCTAGCCCTCGTTGCTTTTGCAGAAAGCCTCCCTATGGGGTCAAATAAGACATTCCTCCGCAACCTGGATACTGGGATACTGGGCGACACCAGGGTTTTGTCTCTAGGCAGTGATGAATCGCTCTTTTGAGTTGAAGTAATGCGTGTGGCGGAATACAGATGAGCCTCGGCTTACTGTGAGCAGGCAGCCGAGGGCCCACCGTGCTGGGTCTGCACCAGCTAGAAGAGGCTGGGGCAATTTGCATTTAAATTGTAATCCTGCACACGTGAGAGAAAGGTGATGCATTGGTCTGGGTGCTGGGAGGGAGGGGAAGGGGCTGCGGAGGGTGGGAGCAATTCAGCATCCAGGACAGATGTTTTTCATTCTTAAGAATAGAATGAAGATTGGGCCTACCTCCCTTTCCTACGTCAACATATCAAGGAAGGTGATTGTCTATCATGAAAATTCAAGGGAAAAGAGTGTCTCTAACTTCAGAGGAAATAACTTGATTTTTAAATATGTGCAACACTCCATTTAATGTGTCTAGGCTTAAAGTTGCAATGCTGAGTAGTCCAACTGATGTGTAGTCTGTTCTTTCAAATATTTTACCCAGTATCACGGATCTGCCATTACACAAACATGAGAATTTTAAGCTGAGCATGATAGCACATGCCTGTAACCTTAGCTACTTGGGAGGCAGAGGCTGGGAGGAATGCTGTTGGAGGCCATCCTGGGCAGAAACTTCTCTAAGACCCACATCTCAACAACAGCCACAGCCTCATGCTGTGGCCTGTGCTGTCATCCTAGCTACACAGGAGGAGGAGGAAGAGGAGCAAGGTCTAGGCCAGAAAGCCAGTACCCAGCCTAAAAAAAATGACTAAAGCAAAAAGGGCTAAGGGCATGCGTGACTCAAGTGACAGAGAACCTTCCCAGCAAGTACAAAGTCTTGAGGTCAAATCCCAGCATTGCTGTTATTTTTTTTTTAAGGGAATGTTGTAGCTGATTGACTTTAGCTATTCACAGACTGTGTGTAAAGACAAATGCGTACTGGTCTGGTCTTTGGTATGGAGATGGACACTGCATCCCGTAGCCTGTCCGTTCAGCAAAGGCCATTTGAAACCTGCTATTTGGGGGTGGAATGTTGTTTTCTTTCTCATTTGTTAAATGGCTGTATCTTTATGTGATGGGGGTGTATTTATTTGGAACAAAAGAGTTATAATTATATTTTTTAAAAAAAGAAAAAGCAGCATGTGCCGGTGGCTCACACCTGTAATCTTAGCTACTGAGGAGGCTGAGATCTGAGGATCATGGTTCAAAGCCAGCCTGGGCAGAAAAGTCGGTGAGACTCTTATCTCCAATAAACCACTAGAAAACCAGAAGTGGCACTGTGGCTCAAGTGGTAGAGCGCTCACCTTGAGCTGAAGAGCTGAGGGACAGCGCCCAAGCCCAGAGTTCAAGCCCCATGACTGACAAAAAAGCAAAGAAGAAAAGAAAAAGCAAGCGAGCACACCTAACTGTATCGCCAAATGCCTTGTGCACTCCCTGTAACTGTGCTTTTCTGGCTGAGAGCCGGCCCCTCCCCCCCCCTGCAGCTCCGGCACCGTTGTAATTAGTTTATTTCATTCCAGGAGCATCTTCCATTGAAATGACTCATCGATGACTTAATAAAGAGAAATTGTCCTCAGTTCACCCCGAGCCGCGGTCTATTCAACGCTTGAGTGATGTCTGCTCCCACAATCTATTTCTCAGAAGTTGCTCTGGTCATTACGGTTTCCTAAGTATCCATTAAGCCTGTGGTTCTTCTCTCAGAAAGCCAGAGTGGCTGCAAACTGAAGCCAGAAGATGTTGCAGAAACTCCCTTGGGTCTCCAATCCTTTCTGATCAGGAATCGAGCCTTGGAGCCACTAGAGAATGGAATGGACACAATGTATCATGCAATGAAGCCACAATGGATACAATGTATCTTTCCTCCCGTTCTTCCCAGGCAATTAGAAATTAACAAGAAAATGCCAACAGTGAAGTTTTGTGTGACCTGGAAAACATCCTAATGAAATGATCAAGCCTAGAGGGTTTTTTGCTTTGGTTTGGTTTGGTTTTTGTCCGTTGTGAGGCTTGAAATCAGGGCCTGGGCGCTGTCCCTCAGCTCTTCAGCTCAAGGTAAATGCTCTACCACTTGAGCCACAGCTCCATTTCCGGTTTTCTAGTGCTTTAGTGGAGATAAGAGCCTCACGGACTTTCCTGCCCAGGCTGGCTTTGAACCATGATCCTCAGATCTCAACCTCCTGAGTAGCTAGGATTACAGGCGTGACCACCGATGCCTGGCTAAGCCTGGAGGTTTTGGTGCTAAGTGTGATAAAGAGTGGACAACCAGGGAGGGTTGCAACAGCAAAGAGAGTGATTAATGGTAGTTAGCAGTGGGGGGACAGTGAGGCTCACTGGGGTCCACTCGGGCGCCTGTCTTTGGAGACAAGTGTCCCTCTCATCCAGGCTTAGGGAGGTCACCTCTTGGGTGAGAGTCCTGACCTGCTTCGGAGGAGGGTGGGGTCAGGGAGTGGCAGGGCCTGCGCTGGTCACTGCGGCGGCGGGGGCCTGCCCTGGTCACTGCGGCAGGGGCCTGCCCTGGTCACTGCGGCGGTGGGGGCCTGCGCTGGTCACTGCGGGGGCCTGCCCTGGTCACTGCGGGGACTTGCCCTGGTCACTGCGGGGGCCTGCCCTGGTCACTGCGGCGGTGGGGGCCTGCCCTGGTCACTGCGGGGACTTGCCCTGGTCACTGCGGGAGCCTGCCCTGGTCACTGCGGCGGTGGGGGCCTGCGCTGGTCACTGCGGGAGCCTGCCCTGGTCACTGCGGGGACTTGCCCTGGTCACTGCGGGGGCCTGCGCTGGTCACTGCGGGGACTTGCCCTGGTCACTGCGGGGACCTGCCCTGGTCACTGCGGGGGCCTGACCTGGTCACTGCGGCGGGCCTGTGCTGGTCACTGTGGCGGCGGGGGCCTGCCCTGGTCACTGCGGGGGCCTGACCTGGTCACTGCGGCGGGGGCCTGCCCTGGTCACTGCGGCGGGGGCCTGTGCTGGTCACTGCGGGGACTTGCCCTGGTCACTGTGGGGGCCTGCCCTGTCACTGCAGTGGCGGGGGCCTGCGCTGGTCACTGTGGGGGCCTGACCTGGTCACTGCAGCAGCGGGGGCCTGCGCTGGTCACGGCGGCCTGGCAGTGGCATTGGGAGCACAAGTCCTGAACCCCCGATGGTCGTCTGCCACCAAGACCCACCTGCGCTGGCCCTGGGTCGGGTGCACAGCATTAGGAAGAGGGGGCAGAGCCAGCTCCGACCCATTCCATCCCCCCGGGGCCAGAGAGGCCAGCCTCAGCACAAAGACAGGTGAAGCTCATGGGCTCTCCCAGTGTGGAGTTGGGAGAGATGGGGGGGGGGGAATGGAAGGGGAAAATGGGGGATGGAAGGGGAGGGGGAATGGAAGGGGAAAATGGGGGATGGAAGGGGAAGGGGGGAATGGAAGGGGAAAATGGGGGATGGAAGGGGGAGGGGGAATGGAAGGGGTGGCATGGTCCAGATGCATTGGACTCCAAAACTGACATGTTGGATTGAAACCCTTGGGGGGTTGGGAAGGTGGCTCAATGGTAGAGTGCTTACCTAGCATGCATGAAGCCCTGGGTTCGAATCCTCAGCATCACAAACACAGAAAAACCTGGAAGTGGCACTGTGGCTAAAGTGGTAGAGTGCTAGCCTTGAGCAAAAGAAGCTCAGGGACAGCGCCTGGGCCCTGAGTTCAAGCCCCAGGACTGAGAAAGAAGGAAAGAAAGAAGGAAAGAAGAAAAGAAAGAAAGAAAGAAAGAAAGAAAGAAAGAAAGAAAGAAAGAAAGAAAGAAAGGAAGGAAGGAAGGAAGGGAGGGAGGAAGGGATGGAAAGAAACCCTTTTGTACAATGACTTAAAGCTTAATAATAATCGGGGCTGGGAAGGTGGCTCAAGTGGTAGAGCGCTTGCCTTGAGCTGAAGAGCTGAAGGATAGCTCCCAGGCCTAGAGTTCAAGCCCATGACTGACAAAAAAAAAGACTCAATTCTACTTTACCTGAAACATCTTCTGTGGGAATGTACTTCATATTCTTTTCCACTAAATGGAGAGAACACACAGAAAGCATCACTGTTTCACCTACTACCTACTGGATGGCGGGGACCCCACCCCAGCTATGCATCACATTTAGGCTTAGACAATTAAAGACGCCAGTATTTTAAAATAAGTGTAATATATAGATTGTAGTTTGTTAACTGGATTTATTTTGCTAATAAAGAGATGACCAGGGCTGGGAAGGTGGCTCAGTGGTAGAGCGCTTGCCTTGCATGCATGAGGCCCTGGGTTCGATTCCCCAGCACCACATAAGCAAAAAGAAAAAAAGCCAGAAGTGGCGCTGTGGCTCAAGTGGTAGAGCGCTAGCCTTGAGCTGAAGAGCTGAGGGACAGCGCCCAGGCCCCATGACCAAACCCAAAAAAAGAAAAAAAAAAGCTTAATAATAATAATACACAAACTTGTGCCCAGGAGTAGGAGTTTTCCGCTGAGACCACCTCCTGCTGCCTTGGGGTCTGCCTGCTGAGGGCCGCAGTACTCTGCGCTCTGCGCTCTGCGGGGAGGAGGCTGCTGGCCGAGCCTTCTGGCTGCCTTCCGCACCCAGCAGATCCCAAGATCAGTTCACCTTCTGTCTGCACATCCAGAGAAAATCAGCCCAAGTACTTTGGACGGAAGTGTAAATCGGCAAAACGCAGTGTGCGGGTGGGGAGGCATTGTTTGTATGTCTTGTTTTGTTTTACAGGTTTGATTTTTTTTTTAATTTGGAGGATGTTTTTTAAGCTTGACTTTATTTTTTTAATTTGGAGGCTTTAGTAAGTGACACTGAGAAGTTGCAACCCCTGGATCTGGCCCTTTGTCTGGGAGGTCTTGAAGAATGAGGCCATGGACACAGAGGATGAAGTAAAATTGCCAAGATTTATTGAAGGAAAATGTCAGCAGCGCTCCCGCTGGACGGGAGGACTGGGGGGAGGGGAGCACTGCTGGGGGGGAGGGGCGGTGGTGTAAGGGGGGAGGGGGTCTCTAAGAGGGAGCTAGGTGACTTGTGACCCTCCAGACCATCGGACAGAGGCTGGGCACAGCCGGCACACGGCCCCGCATCCCCTTTAGCCTCTCTGGCTGAGCGCCCGTCTGATGCACACCAGTTGGTCGCTCGTGCACAAGTGTTCCTGGGGCAGTGGGCCACGGTGATGTGGTGTCCAGGACCAACACCCAGGACTGCGCAAGGCCACAGTGAAGGACAGAACCTCTGTGCTGGGGGAGAGGGGGAGGGAGGCTTTGCCCTGATTACCTAGCCAGGCTCCTCTGCTCTCAAAAGTTGATGGAGGACCAACCATAATCTTCTTTGTGAAGAAATAACACTCCATTTTGCCAAAACACACTTGGAATATCATGTTAAATATAGACCTTGGACTGCAAATATCCTCCCCATATAACGGACAAGGAAATGGATTCTAAGGCACAAGTCCTGAGCACCACAGGCCCCATAGCTGCCACTGGCAAAGTCATCTGTCTTCCACTACATGCGAGCGCTCCTAGAACCCAACAACAACAACAATAATAATAACTTCTAGCTTAGGACCCAATGAATTGCACCCTAAGTGTGAGATCGCGGTGACCTGTGTGGGAAGTAAAGCCAGTCCACTGCTTTCCCTGGCCTGGGGAAAGGTCATGGTTCTCAACAGAAAGGTCTAGAAGCAAGTGTGGGCATACCTGTAATTCAACAAAAACCCCAGGGCTTCCACATGTGGAAAACCCCTTGTTTGCTCTGACCTTAAGTCCATCCCGCTCAGCCTTTTCAAATAAATGTTTTCCTACACAAGCCAGTGTGGTCATGGGAAATAGACATCTCAAGTGGAGAGTACATTCGTTCTTCCCTTCACTCACTCATTGACAACCCATTTCAAATGTGCCCAGTGAACAAGAATGAAATAAACCAGTCCATCTTCTTCTTAAAAAGAAGGGATAGATGTGTGTTTCATATCTGATCATGTCTTGGGGAGATAGGTATATACAAGATGGCTGAATCATGAAAAACAGAAGGAAGGGTAGCTGGATGGATGGATGAATGGGTACATGGGTAAGTTGGCAGATGGGTTGATGGGAAAAAAGATGGCTGGGTGGATGGATAGCTGGATGAGAAGATAGATAGATGGATCGATGGATGGACAGAAGATGGAGATGACTAGTGGACAGGTGGATGGATAGTCATCATGAATAGATAATGCTACAAATTTCAAAAATGAATAAATGCTTGGATGACTGAATTTTGATCTCCACCAGGAACTGTTTCCAGAGTTGGAAATATAAAATGCTTGTGAAAACTAGACAGACAGGTATTACCAAATTATAAGCACCTAGACACTAGAGAAGTCAAGATAGAGCTGGCAGGCAGCACACAGGACATCAGTAACTCTCCCCTCTCCTCCCCCGCCCTGCCCTGCGCTCAGTCACCAGCACCCCACTTGTGGTAGAACAACTTCCATCACCAACGCAGAGCTCACACTTCTCCATGATCAAAGGGACACTTGTGGTCCCCAAAACGTTCCACCAGGAGGTGTTTGGGGGCAGCTAAGTAAGAGGGGGCTCTCCTAGCAGAGGGAGGAGTTGTCCCACGTGGTGGGACCGAGAGACTGGGTCCCCCTTCAAAAGGAAGGGCTCTCGCTTTCCTTCAGGGTCTACAGGAAGCTGGCCACGTCCCCTCCCCTCCCACCATGTGGCTGGTAGTCCTCAGCGCGCTGTTTTGGTTTCCCTTACAAGGTAAGCGCTCAGAGCCAATGTTTTTCTTGCTCAGCTGAATCTACCTGTGGGTCAGGCAGCAGCATTCACACAGCTGGAGTCGCCTTTTTCATTAATGTGCTTAGAACCATGTCCAGACCACGTATCAAAGGGAAGTTACTGCCTTTGTGTCTCCTCTGGTTCAACTGCTAACGGACACAGGGAGGAAAGAACAGTGTGTGTGTGTGTGTGTGTGTGTGTATGTGTGTGTGTCTGTGTGTGTGTGTGTGTATGTGTGTGTGTCTCTGCGTGTGTGTCTCTGTGTGTGTGTGTGTCTGTCTCTGTGTGTGTCTGTGTCTGTGTCTGTCTGTGTGTCTGTCTGTGTGTCTGTGTGTGTGTCTGTGTGTCTGTGTAATCTATGGTGGCAAACGGTAAAAGGTTTCCTAGGGGTTCTTGTTAGGATTTACCAATTAAGAGCTCCAATTTACCAATTAAAAGATTTTAAAACTTCTTTCTGTGTATGTCTTAGCTAAATAATTTGTGGGGGGTTCCCCCTAAAAACCAATTTTTGTATCTTAAAGAAGATGGTAACAAATATGATTTACTCAAGCAAACATCCGGATTATGATAAGGATCAAGTTTCAGATGTGAAAGTGCTTTCAAAATGTTAACATTCTTACTGTGTTCTTCCTTCCTTCCTGTTTTCTTTTTTCTGCCAGTAATGGGACTTGAACTTGGGGCCTGGGCTCTGTCCCTTAGTTTTTCTGCTCAAGGGTGGCACTCTACCACTTGGGCCACAGCTCCACTTCTGACCTATTGGTGGTTAATTGGAATAATAGCTTCATAGCCTTTCCTGTCTGGATGGCTTCCAACTGCAGTCCTCAGATCTCAGTCTCCTGAGTAGCGATGACTACAGCTATGAACCACAAGTGCCCACTGGGGCGTTTTCTGATTTCTAGAAGAAATATGTAATAAATGGTTGAATGAGTGAAGTTGCGTTGAGAGCAAGTCCCTGCCACCTCGTCCACAGGACTCAGCCCCAGCAGGCTGACCACCACCGCCGTGCTCTTTCTCCACAGAGGCCCTGATGATTCACCACATGGGCACCGTCACTGTGGAGGAAGGCCAGCCGCTCACCCTCAAGTGCTCCACCTCTCTCCAGAAGAATGCCTCCCTCCAGTGGCAGGCCCCCTCGGGGTTCACCATCTTCTTCAATGAGCATCCTGGTAAGAGGAAAAAGCAGGAAGGAAGGAAGGAAAGAAGGAAGGAAGGAAGGGAGGAAGGGAGGGAGGGAGGGAGGGA